AGCTTTCACAATGTTCGACAGTCCTAAAATTGTTAGGAGAAGTTCCTTCGATACTATTTGGATCCCACATAAACTGTTGGCAAACACCAGTGGCGGAATTATACCACCATCTGGGAACGGATGGCTCATCTCCAGCTGCCAATGGTTGCGCACACGTAAATGCTGCAAAATGTTGTAAATTCAGAGAGTTTAGTTGACCAGAACCATTTTATCTACTATATCATAGCTGCCTGAGTTATAAAACTCTACATTACCTCTGTTTGGACAGCATATCCCATTGACTGAAGTATGATACTCAGGGAAGAACTCGTTTTTGATCTGAAAAGAAGGCAGTGAACAATTCCACATTAGCAATCATCTTATTCTAAACCTGTGGATGCACGATGCAGTCATAGATGTCTGCGATAAAGATATCATTGTCACCATCTGGGTAGACGCACCATGTAGAACCATCGCCTCTATTTGATGTTCTCGTTTCCAGAGAGGAAGAAGTGCAAAGTATAGGCCTATAATAAAACTTTTCAAAGATGAATTTTTTCAAGGGCCTTCAACAGACTCACATGTAACTGTCAGGGCTAAGTGGGTGAGAAATGGAATTAACTAGCACTGAAGCTGGGTTTGGAGTGCCATCATGAGGTTCCGGCAAAGGGCAGGAGGGAGGAATCAACGAGGAAACGCATACTGTTCCATCCCTAAAGTTCTCCGATGATTTTTACCGTGAGGAAGAAGTAAATCACATGCCAGTGGATGTTCTTTTCCGGATAAAAAAAAGCAGCTTTCTACAATTCAAATATTCTATGTAATTTGTTTGACCAAACTTGTCTGCACCTATAAAAAAGCAGATTTTATTCCGATGTCTAGAACAGCTGCAGTCAAAGGAATGCTTACCAAAGATATGGTGTGATCCTATTATTTCAACAAAATTTAGTTTTCATTTCTAAGAGGGATACGCAATTATAATCCATCTTAAAATATTCATGAAACTGTTGCTATGGACCTTGTTTTACTCGGCACTGTATTTTCCGGGCACTCGCAAACTCCCGAAATGGAGCAAGTGGCTTCCGGCCAAACTGCATCACATTGTCTTGCATCGACACAGCCAGGTTCCCCCGGATTGACTTCTGGAACGAATAACTGCTTCATTGAGCGAATATATTACCTAAAAGTAACTTTGGATCTTACTAGGCCAACAATGTTTTTCAAATGAGACAAAATTGGACAAGCATTGACATTTTCCTCCGCCGCAGAACATCCCTCGTTGACAGTCTGTGTTGAAGGAACACACTTCTCCAATAAGCGATGAACCTTCAAC